GTGCCCCCTTCTCCCTCTGACCTCGACTCCCGGCACCTGCCCTGTAGTTGTAGCCCCCACCCCCACCCCCCGGGTCCCTGGCCTCAACCAGAACCTACTTGGTAAAGGACAAGGACAGATGCTTTTTCCCACCCTGAGAAGCCAGCCACCCTTTTCTTAAAGCGTCTGATTGGTCAGCAGCCTTTGTGACCGTATCCTGCAAACAGGATGATGAAATCCTGCTTTCCAAACGGGGCAGCTCTTCTCACCCCAGTTACAAACTTGGATGCAGTCGATGAGTGTTTAGGTTCCAGACGCTGGAGGGGGTAAAGCTGTCGAGTCCAGACAGATCCGTGCCCTCAGAAGTCACACGCTCCTGGGGCTCTCCTCCTCAGAGGGTCATATAAGTAGAAAATAAGATGAGCCACAAGCTTAAATGTTTATTATCATCCATTTGCTTTAGCAAGGATGTGGGCCAAATGGAGTCCTCCAACCTCTTACCCTAAGCCTAAGGCCAGTTTTCGGCATTTGTGGGGACAGCCACAGATTTTCCTTTTAACCCAGGCCTTCTCGGTCCCCTCCACGAGCAAGCGTCCACACTCACGGCAAGAGCAGATAGCTAATGGCCCCATCAGAATAGTCAGGTTGCTCAGAAAGGATTCCACCATGGGAACTCTTTCCAGAACAAAGAAAACCCATATGACCAAGGAGTTAGCCACTTCGTCCTGAGTGCACTTCGCAAGCAAGCCTGTTGGGAACGCGAGTGACGCAAATTGGGTACAATGCTTCTGCGAACCTGCCTGCTGGGAACTCAGGTCCGAGCGCCCCAGAGGACTCTCAGGAAAACACCAAGCAGCTGCTGGTGGGAGTGTACATTGCTTTGGCCTCCCAGGAGAGCAGGAACTGATAAAACATAAATGCTGAGAGCTGGTGACCCTGTCCTTCCACTTCTACAGATTCCCCAGAGTTAAGCTCCCACATACACACAGGGAGACAGTATCGCAAGCGCTCACTACAACAGGATAGTAGCAAAAAATGGAACTTCCAGAAATAGCCATTGACAGGGAAACGTACACAAATAGTTACCTGGATTCCAGTATGGCTTCTAAAAGGAAGCAAGTTCATCTGTATCAACAGGGTCAGATCTCAAAGGAGAATGTTGAAAAAAGAAGGAAGTTCAAGAAAGATATGATAATAGCTTTATACAGTCCACAGTATGTATAATTTTATATAGGGATGGTATAGGATAATACCATTTACGGACGTGTTTATAAACACAAAGCCATATTGGTTCTTGAATGTATGCAGACAAGTTTTTTTTTTAATTGAATACAATGATATAGACTGAATCCAGATGCTGTTGTTTTGAGAGACAGTAGGAAGGGGTGTGATGGGGATGGGCAGAACAGTCAGGGAAGGCTTTCTGCAAGGTTCCCTTTCTTCTGTTAAAAGAAGGTAATTGAAGCAAATAGGACAACATATTAACCACCGTATAACTCTACGTGGTGAGAACACTAATGTTTCTACCTTTTGGCATTTTTGAAAATATTTCTTCCCACAAGAAACGCCAAAGGGAAATATGTCAAACCAAGGGTATTCGTTGTTCTCACACTTAGCATTCTAAGCAGAGCTCCTGGTGGTTTGGTTTGTTCGTTAGTTGCAGATGTCATTCGCTGGCCCTGTCCCAGAACTTCTGAAGATGATCATCTCAAAGAGCACAGAGAAAAAATGGGAAAACGTACTCTGGCTGGCAGAGATAACGCGTTTCCCCGGTAAGACTGCCCGAGCTCTTCCAGTTGCCAGTGGCTTTGCCATGTAGAGGGGTACTTCCTTGTCTCTGCCACCCAGCATGGATTGCAAACCCGTGCTTACCCTGTAGTTTCAAACATTGCAGCCACGTGCTCGGAGAGGCAGCAGAATTACAAAAATGTTGCAGCAATAGTACAAGGGATTTCAGCTATTGCCTCTAATTTCCTCAAACACCAGCATTTCCTCATTTCCTTGGTCCTCCTCTCCTTCTCTGAGTATGTATCTCACCGTATATATGATTTTTAATATATATATATATAGGATTTTGTCCTCTGGGATGTTTGAGAGTAAGCAGCAAGCGGGATGCCCCTCGGTGCGTATTTCTTGAAACCAAGGACATTCTGTTACGTAACCACTGCTCAGTTACCCAAATCAGGAAACGATCCTGCCAGCAATCCGACGGTCTCATCTACAGACGGGAATGCCACGGGTCCCACTGCCATCCTAGAGCTGGTGCAGGATCCATTCAGGATTACACGTTACCTTCAGCTGTTCAGTCTGTGAAGTCTCCTTTAAACCGGAGCAGTAACTTCAACTTTCATGACCTTGACACTCCTGCAGCAGATTTTGTAGGCCAGGTCTTCTGTGGATTTGTCTGATATTTCCTCTGGATGGGACTCAGGTTACACAGTTTGGGTTGGGATACCTTAGAAACGGTGATGTCCTCGGTGCATCTTTTCAGGAGCACAAAGTGACCTTCGTAGAATATTTCAGACCCTCCTTGGGCCTGCTAACGTTGCAGGAGTCGGCCGGCTCACTTACATACATGAAATCGGTGGCTGGCCAGGCCCTATGTGAGCGAAGTTGTGCCTCCTTTTCCACCGCATCTCCAGCTTCTTTCCCTGTAACTCCGCTGTAGCCGCGCGAGCCTTTCTGAATCTTACCTCTGCCAAATTTGTCCCTGCCTGAGGGCTTTTGCACTGACTGGTCCCTCTGCCTAAAATGCTCTTCCTCCACATTCTTGCCTGACTGCCTCCTTCTCACCCCTCAGGTCACAGCTCAAATGTCACCTCCTCAGGAAAGCCCACCCTGACTGCACTCTCTAAAGTGGTGTCACCACACCAGCCCATTTTCCATCTCAGCCCCCATTTGATTTTCTCCAAAGCACTTACCACTAACTGAGGATAGCTTGTTTAATAATTTACATGTTTACCTTTTTGTCTTTCTTTCTCTCACTAGAATAAAGAAAGCACGTTGCTTGGCATGATACTCAAGGTGTCTAGCACAGTGCTTGGCTCATATTGGGTGCTCAGTAAATATATGTTGAATCATTGAGTGACTTACTCTTCACCCCATCTGAATACAGAAAGAATAATCAGTAACAGCATCATTATATGCTAATAAAATAATGGTGACTTACATACACAAGCTTATTAGAATTTTAATATGCTATTTCATGTCAAAGACTAATCATTAAACAAATAACAAACATTAGCAAATACAGGGCCAACCTTTCCCATTTGTGCACTTTGCAAACCAATAAGGAAAGAATTCTTAAAGACTCCATTATCTACTTCATCAAGCCAGCTGGATATCAATAATTTGTCAAATGAAATATTTCCTTTACTGGATACTCAGTTTTCTACGTAGGGAGCACACTGATGCCCAGATTACATGCAACTTCTTAGCATTAGCACAGAAATTACTTTCCCTGACTGTGAAATCAAGAGCCTTGTCATACAGTCATGGCAGATATCCATCCAATCTCTTCCATCCAACAACCAGACAGTGCAGACAGTACACTTTGGTGGCCCATGAGCTCAGTCCAACCATCATTGGGCTTTGTCCTGTCCTGGGGTGGATCACAACATGATTTGTATCTAAACTAGTTGCCTGTATTTTAAAATGTGCTGGTTTTTATTTATTTATTTATTTATTTTTAAAAGATTTTATTTATTTATTTGACAGAGAGAGACACAGCGAGAGAGGGAACACAAGCAGGGGGAGTGGCAGAGGGAGAAGCAGGCTTCCCGCCGAGCCGAGAGCCCGATGTGGGGCTCGATCCCAGGACCCTGGGACCATGACCTGAGCCGAAGGCAGACGCTTAACCGACTGAGCCACCCAGGCGCCCCAAAATGTGCTGTTTTTTAAAGTGAGTCCACAAATTCCTTGAAACTTCTCTCTTGAAAAAGGTTGAGCCTACTTCTCGAGTGTGGGTGGGGCTTAGTAACTTAGTGACTGTGGACAGGTTCCAGTGACGAGGAGATGAGCCGGCCTGTGAGGGAGCTGTCTGGAGAGTCATCTTCCAGCCCCAGTCCCTGCCTCACTGGCTGCGGCTCCCCACATGCATCTTACCTGCAGTTTCTGGGTATGGAGTCACAGCCTCCCAGTGAAGCCACTCCCGAATCCTGACTCATGGAAACCGTGTGAGATTTATTGTTTATTGTTATTTCAAACACTAACTTTTGACGTAATCTGCACTGTGATGGGTGATGGGTCTACAACACAAAAAACAAGGATAGTTCACATAAAAATCCAGACATCTGGTTTCTATTGAGCATCAAGATAGGCAGTCACTGGGCCTATTCTTAAGACGAGAGGCCATGAGCCTCTTTCCTGTGTGGCCTCGAGCACCTGCCTCCCAGGGAT